TTATTTTCCATTAGGTTTACCTGTAATGAGCTGTGCATTAAATTTAAAACCTCAAATCATTTTACTTAGTAAATAAGTCATAATTATGTACCTAGCTGTTAGTAAATCAAATAAATAAAACAAAAAGATTATTTAGTGGGAAAGAGTAGTAGAACTGATATTAGTAGTCGGAATAAACTGTTTCGATTAGATAAATGGTTACATAAAGATACAAGTAGTGACATAGAGTGGTTAAAAGCTCCAAATATTATTTGTATACTTTTTTCGAATTCCAGATTTCAGAAAATAGTCTTACATCATCATAATATGAGAAAACGACTCACCTGAAATTCGATTTTACAGTAAAGTTTATCCTATCTTTATTTCATAGGTTAATAAATTACCTGTGCAATTATCTTTACCACCTAAACGTCAGAACTAGGCATCGTCTATAGGTAGATTTATGACTTCACACCTTTTTGTTGAAGATGCATATCATGTATAAACAGATGATGCGATAAGCTTCATAATTACGGATAACAGAGGTTTAAAATTTTCTGTCTACGAATTCGTTCCCAGATAAATTATTATTTAATGAGCATTTTCAGCGTCACCAGTCTTGTTTTTTTTTATTTGTCTACGAAGTAAAAGTCGTAATTGCGTCTAATTTGCGATTTTATTATCAAATCTAAGCTAGGTTTTTTTATGATATCAAGCGACAGAACGAACAAATCGTGCGCCTGGTAATAAGCGACAAGCCTATCCATGACAGTTGTAATGCCGTATAGAACTTTGAACTGCAAAGTTCGGAGAAGTGCTACTGACGAGTTGTCGTGTCCCATGTGCCTGTAGTTTCACCAGCACCCTCCAAAACCGGAACGCAGTAATGCTCAAATTGCTTCTCGACGGCAGAAATAGTTACGACCGTAGTACTTACTTTCCTGTACGAACTCTTTTATAAGGAGCTCTACAGCTACTAAATAAACTTTAAACAAAAAAAAACAAAAAACTTAAAAAAAGAAATATTACAAATAAATTTCAACATGCCATAAAATCTGTCATTGCCGCAATAGTAAATGGCATCTTCAATAATAAAGTCACTAAATCCAAAACTTAGTTCTTGAGAAACTGACAAAATTGATGATAAAAGAAGTACGTAGCACCAACCATATGCTATGTTGTATGTGTGTATGGCTGGTGCCAAATATAAATTTTTATTTCATTTGAAAAACCAATTGCCTAATTTTGTTTCGTAGATTATTTTTTGTTAATTTTCAAAGCAACGCATAATTAGGCACTTCCTCTCTACCGTCAATCAAACCAAAACACTGTAACATCAAAAACCGCATTTTGGAAAAATATTTTTTTAACTACTTTGCTTTGTACACACATCAAAAGTGTCTAGGGAACAAGCACGGTTTTGGCAATCACTGAAAATCAGGATTTTTAATGAATTTTTTTAACACCGATGGATTTTTTATTGGTCAATTTTATAATTTGAAAATGAAATTAACCAAGAATGAGTCCATTTGTGTTAAAAAAACACAATAAACCTGATTTTCAGTAATTAGCAAAAACTTCCTTGGTCCGTAGACACTTTTGATATGTGTGTATATTTGATAATTTGACTTAAATGTCTTTCTTTTCCCTGGATACAAGCTGAAAGATAAGGTGTAATGGAATTACGAAACACTATGTTATAACCCTTGCAGTGTTTTGGTTTACAACGATAGCTCAGCAGCTTAATTTTGATTGCCTCTCCCGATCGGAAACTGCGTCTCTTCCGAGTACATAATTGCGGAGCACATAAGTGGCCAATCCGAAAATTTTAACGTTTCAAGACGAAACAATAGTTGATTTAACTCACAAATTAGAAAGATATAGTAGGAATCAGGTTCATCTTCTCGCTCGGAAACTCAGCGTGCGAAAAACAGCAAAAACAGCAGCGAAAAATCAGCATGCTGGTGTTGCAAATGTCCATAGGGGACGAAGGGTGTGAAATGTAACATGAGAAGTCAAAAAATCATCTCCAGCTAAAATTGTCAAACATCCCAAAGTTTTATTTCATCTCTTTTGTAGCATACATTGGCAGGAATCCTTGCTGCTAAGGAATAAGTTCAAGGCCCCAAGTGAGCTATTCGAGTCGATTGAGTATCCATGGCATTGATCTACTATTCAACTGCCATTGCAATGTTTTGGTATTCTGCTCTTTAATGGCGAGTCGAGCATTTGACAAAAAAAAAATAATTTGAAAATTTAAGGCAACATCACTGCCGTTCCATTGACATTATATTGAGACTCAACGCCATTGCAGATTTTAGATTTTAGCAGAATAACAAATATTAATAATATAATTTCTTGAAAATGAATTCAAGAAAATTAGCAGACTTAAAGGCCAGCAGAAGACAGTCTTTTCGTCTATTATCTGGTCTAAAATAATTTTATTTTCATTGAATAAATTGGGTAAAATTGCAACTGTATAACTGTCGCAAAAAGGTTTAGCTTATAATATTATTTGTGTGTGTAATTGTAAATTAGACAAGCGGTCTGTCAAGCATGTCGACAATAAATTATTTTAACCGACTTAAAAAAAGGGAAAGGTTCCAATTCGTCTGTATTTTTTGTATGCTACGCCATTCTCCGACATTTGTAAACCGATTTCGTGATTTTTTAAAACAAAATAGGGTACCTATCTGTAGTGCTCCTATTCAAATATATTTTATATGAGAAAATTTGCACCTCGAACGGTGCCAAATTAGGGGATGAATCCGGTTTATTGTATTTCACTCGCTTTCTGTTAACCGATTTCAGTATAATCTCAGTACAGAGTACTAAAAGAACCGACCTCAAAAATCATCCATCCTCTAGTTTGCCACCCTTAGAGGTGCTATATTTTCTTCAAATTCAAATAGGACCACTACTGAGGTACCCCTCTTTCCAACAAAAAAAGAATCATCAAAATCGGTTCACAATTTGTCGGAGTTATCGCGTAACATACATACAAAAAAAACATACAGTCGAATTGAGAACCTCCTCCTTTTTTAAAGTCGGTTAAAACTTGGTATATATAGATGTAAATCCAATGAAAAAAAAATGTTTTCGCAGACAGATGTGAGAAACTCTTCAACTACTGTTGCAGTGCAGCAGCTACCCTGTGTTTATGCTCATGTTATTCGTTTTAACTAGGACTAAGGATATTATGCATTTCAGTACCATTAAGTAACGAACAGAGCGAAACGGACAAAGAAACATTTGAGGTAGGTTTTTTTCCTACTCGTGGGAGACTGCCATTATAATGTTATATAAAATTTAACGTTATGTTTTATTTTTCTACCTTATTATTTATATTTTGTTGTTGATTGTCGGTGGCGTCCTTTTCGTTCCTCGGTTACCACAGAATATCAGCGTCGAGTTGTTTTAATAATAATAATAATAATCTTTTATTAAACAGACAACTGAGATCCGTATAAATATTAGCGCAGACGTAAAACTGTGTTAGTACTGATATTCTACCAGGGACTTCGTAATATTAGTTAAGTGCCGCAATGTTGAACACTCATTCCTCTTTGCAATGGTCTTCAGGAGGCTGTCGGCGCTGATACGTAGGTATTCTGGTCAGTAACGACGCCGACTTTCTGCGTAGTACAGCAATGAAACTGTCTACGCGCGAACATGGCTGGGGACGTGACAACCCCAACAACGTCTATATTGCACACACAGAGGATTCAGGGAACACTTTAAACCGGCCGCCTGCCTTACGTCAGCCCTTCTTGGGAATTCTCTGTTTAAAGTGTGGCCAGAGCCGCTTTCGCTGAGTTCAGGGTGCATGGCGTGCAGGTTGGTATGTGGCCCTGGTAACTGGAATACTTAGAATTTATAGTCCTATTTCACCCTACACTGAGTTTGCTGGTCTGATCAGTTCGCCATTCCAAAATAGACATGACGTTGAGTTTTAAAGCCAGCTGCGGCGCTCTTCAATGACTGCACGCACCATATAATATTTTCACTTAAAAGCGATACTTAAAAAAATAATTCATAAAATACATTAAACAGTGCACGTTATTACGAGGTTATATCTTGCGATTTTTTATGAACTGTCGCAGGGATCATCCTAGAGAACAATAAATTGAAGTTAGCTCAGAACCAGTAACATTATTTATATTGATGGTGATTGTACTAACCGATCAGTAGGTCCAATGTCCATGCAATATTGTAGTAGTCGTAGTCCTACTGGTAGAACCACGGGCAAAAAACATTACCCTTGGTCCTATTAGTTGGACTACGCAGTTGGACCACGGGCAATGATTCGGAGCGAGCATGTATACTGTCACCATTTTTTCGTTTTATATACATTACTTGACGAATGCTAAGTGGTGACCATTTTGGATCTCAGTGTTTAGTATTAAGATTTACTTTGTATTATTAGTCAGAACAAAATGAGACCAAATAATATCACAGTCGCGCGAGTATCGCGCTTTTGCCGGTAGATGCGCTGTGGCAGATATTTTTCTCATACATTAATGCAAACGTTTATAAACGTTTCTTCCACAGGCTTATAATAAATATAACAAATAATCGTTGACGCCTATAAACCGCCCGCCGATGTTGCGCATGTATACCAGCGATCATTGGTATGTGTGAGTAGTACTTACTTATCCTGTGAAATTTCGATACTGTGCTGTGTGTCGCTAGAGATTCAATATCTCGATATGTTGTAGATCAATGACGTCCCTATTAACATTATGTACGGCCAAATAGCGCTCCCTTACGTTCTTCAATGAAATAAAAGAAATTCAACGACGTAATAGTACGTTGTTCTACATCACTTACAAATGTTTAGGGCGGCATAGTACGTAGCTCGCGCGAACGTGATATTATTTTCTTTCTTTCTTTACACAAAACCTTTTTGATTGGCGTACCCTTTGTTAATCCATACCTTTGCTGCCGGACCTGAGTCTCATCTGACATAAGGATCGTAGCGCACTGGCACAATGCAGTTTGAAAACTTTTATTACACTAACCTGAAGCAACGAGGCAGCAAGCGCAGTCAAAGCTATCATTAACAAATGTTCCCTGGCGTAAGCATGCAGCTGTTTCGCGCAGCCACGTTGATACAGGGTTGAACAGTCCGCCACGTACGGCTTCAGTAGGGACTCCAGGGGGCCCTGGCCGCAACAGGAGAACGGCACGTGACCGACTACGCTGTAGTCGTTCGGCCCGGACACTCCACAGCATTCAAACTGGAATATGATAGAGATAAAGTTAATTTGTTCTATATCTTTCGGAAATTACAAAAGGCATCTGTCTTATAGATATAAAAGGCAAAAGGGGTCCATACGGACATCCTACGATCTAGGATATCCGTATGAACCTCTATCATAACGTATATTAACAAAATTATGTGAAATATTTTATAAACATCCATTACATTGCCGAAGCTCGTCGAATGGATGAACTACATCTAGCAGAAAGTATGATATGGTTTCCTGAAAAGAGAAACACGAAGAGATGGTTAGCAGCGTCTGTGTAACCATGCCTGCCAAGAAATCCTTATGCAGTGTTTTTTTTAATGGGACAGTATTAGGAAATCCGAAACCATAAAACATACAAGGAAAATGTCTTAGGAACCGTTAAGTCTTTTTTTATGAAAACAATTTTGGCATAGTCAATTTTTGTGAATAAATAAACGTCGGTTTGTTTGGAAAAAGAAATATAAGTACACGATTTAGATTCGAACAAATACTTTCATTTCCTAATTTAAAATTCCTAACATTCAGCTTATCTGAATATCGATGGAGATTGATGTTGAGTTTCTATTTTTGTTAAATTGTAACCATTTGTAGTTTTCAGGTCGAGGTTGTAATAGTATATTTTTTATCGAGGGACAAAACGAGCCATAGTCTTCAAGTAAAAACTTTTCACTTCGATTGCGAGAAAAAATAAATATTTATTTCAATCATTTACGTTCTACAACAAAATCACGAACCAAAATTCTGAAGTTTTCGGGGTATTTTTTTCCAACCAGACACAGATACAACGAAACCTTAAACGCATAAATGCCACGATTATCGGTCTTTGGGAATCTTGAGCGTCTCGTCTTTCGGACGATTTAAGTGCTACGTCACGTCACTAAAATGGTCCAAACAAACGCAATAACGCGGGAAAATAATATGGAGCCACCGTGTATGCGGAATAGGCACGGAACTAAAAACGAGCGCAGTCATAATCTGTAAAATGGTTCACACACAATCGAAGCGCAGCGACCTTTGTGAAATTGTAGGTTTATCTACTTCTTCATCTTTTTTGTTTTTGTGATTATTCTTGGTGTTGTTTTAATTAACAATTAAATTAAATTAAATTATAATTGTTTTACTTTAATTGTTACACTTTCATCTTCTGGTATAAACTAGAGCAAGTAATGGCTGTTTGAGTTTGTCTAGGTCACTCGGAGTAAACGAAGAAAAAACAAAGTACTTTTTACTCGTTTTTTTTTTAATTTATTAAGGCTTTGGCAAAGCCATCAGCCTAAACATGAAGTTTAATTATGTTTCTGTAAATATGGCCGCCACAAAGAGGATAGGCAATTTGAGGCGGCGTGATTGGATTGACTCGGGATTCCTTAAACAGGCCGACACGGGTATTCTAGTTCGAGATTCGTATAATTTCACGTTTTAATCTTCGATTAAGGCACAATAGCACTATCCTATTCCACTTTAAACTAGATTTCACAAAATAATTGAAAGTCAAAATAAAAACGACACTTTTCCCTCCAAAAGGTCCAGAGCGAATCCCTTTTTACTCGTTATTGGATTTTAGAATACTTTACTCCCGCTATATCTTTTTTCTTTCAGGCTGTACTGCTCTTCATGTCGCAATGGGGAGTCGAAGAAGCTACTATGTGTGATTTGTTTTAGATAATTACGCGCGCGCATATTTTTCTTAATTTAAATTTCTCTTTTTTTAAGTTTATTAAATGTCACGATGTTTTACTACCATGACATTCAATTATTTTTTTGTGAATTTACTCCACTAGTTTATTAAAATTAAAGGTAGGTACATTGTACCTCTCTGAGTCAAGAAACAAATTTCTCACAGGTAGCGCAAAAAAGTCGTTAAATACCAAATACAAAGATCTGCTACAAACAAATGGAGAAGTTCGTAAGGTCTGGTATGCTGGTTAGTTCCGTGACTTAATTGGCAGAGCATCTGGCACGGATTGCTTGAGGATGCAGGTTCGGATCCAGCCGGTTTCCAGTACTGCACATTTCCGCATGCGATTGAATAATGTTTCCCTTAAATTGACATGGTGACTTTTGCCCTCTGTTGGTCTCTAGTCACATATCGAAATTCTAAATTTGGATCGAAATTCAAAATTCACGACGATCACAATTGTATTTTTGTGCTCATTTCAAATTTCATGCATATCAGTTGAAGAACGGCCGAATGTTTTGTTTGTAGATTGTGCAATTCGAATATATGCCAAGAATGCTTCGCTCGCTGCGCTTCGATACGTACTCGTGTAGTGCTAATCAGAAAGGCAAAATAACGAAATACTAATAATAATTAAGTACCAAAAAAATGCAAATTTTTTTAAATAAATATACGAATTATAAATATAAGGGCGTGGAAGGAGGGACAAATAAAAAAAAACAAAAATAAACCTTGACATGTAGCCTGTCCCATCTCACAGCGTCTGCAGAATTAGGATCCTTTTTAGCAACGGTGGCAGCGAAGTAATCAGTCATTGTGGGTTTTATGTCGACTTCAATGTTGTCCCATACAACCATCGCCCATACAAAGCAGGCAAACTCCGTTACTACCACCAATGCAATTAGAATGCCCGCCTGAAAGTTACAAAAAAATTATTGAAGAGTATCTTACAACTGCTCTTCCGCTTCTTCTTCTGACGTGGTAGATTAGTAAATAGTCACTACTTCCTTATTCAAGATATTATAACTACTTACCTACTAGTTGCTAAATTAAAAATTAAGTATTTTAATTTTTTTTCCGCCAGAGGGCATCGTGAAATAAACAATGCTTATGTTGCAGATAAGTAGGGGAGCCTGGGATCGGTGCCAGGATTATCTATACTATTTAATATCCCTTTGTCTTTTATTTACAATTGACGCTATCATCGCAAAACTGGTGTAACCCATATTTAATTTAAAGTAACATTGTTAAAAAATGTAATGTCAGTTACACCACTTTTGCGCTGATAGCTTAATTGTATTTCTGCCGTATAGTTATATTTATATATATAGTAATTATAGTATCCATAATATATATGGAACGAGGACTTGTGATCCCTTTGGTGAATATGGTGAAAAATGTAATAATACTTAAATTATTATACTACTCATCACAGGCTAACGCGATTGGGAGAATATACTCGCCACGACTAGCCAGCGCGGCATTTAGTGTACGTACTAACACTAAAGGGTTTTATTTGTAACTGATTTAGGGGTACTAAACAACCCGAAATTTATGAAATGGACTTCAATTCAGTGATCAGTGGCAGAAACACTTGAACAATTGATATTAAAAGATAGGTACTCTTATTATACTCAATCAGAGTACTAAACTCAAAAATGAAAAATTGTCACAAATCACTCGCTCACTTACACGCACGCACAAGTAAATTAATTTTTTTATTGCTTTGTAAGTAACATTATTTCATTATCTATTGTTATATACGTAAAATGTTAATTAGATTTTAGAAATATTCTGGTCTTTAATAAGTTTCCGCATTTATCGTTTACAACTCTTCCTTGAATTGGTAACCGTAACGTAACGTGTAACCGGTTTTGAAAAATGTTTAAAAGTACACGTCTTAAACTTTCGTATTCTTTCGTGATCCATAATAAATATTATGTAAAGATTACTAAAGTGAAACAGTGTTTAAGAAATATTTAATTTATTGAAAATCATAATGTTTTTAACATTGATATTATACATTTTAGTGAAAATATTCCACTCGTTTGTTATTATTATTGATGCGATCGAACAACGAGTACAGTCAACAGCACATCAAGCTTGACACTTTGTACTTCGTTGTTATCGTAAGCGTCATAGAGTTGGATTTAAATTTTAAGTGTTGATACGAGTCCAGTCAGGTCGAAGGACAGTTAGGTCTTTGCGTTACTCGATGTTTATTACACTTTGAACACTGCTCGAACTGTACTAAATAAAGTTAAAAAATCTAAGCTCCGTGTGCTTCCAACACATGACTAACTTGACAACCTTTGGCTAAGTCTTGTTGGATTACCTACTAGTGACTTTTTTAAAATAATATCAAGTGACGGCTCTAATAGATCGTGCGCCTGATGGTAAGCTTCACGCCTGTCCATAACAAAATGCGAAAAAAGGTGACATGCTGCCTGCACAGAGTGCGAGAGAACTCAAACAGAGTTCTTAAAATGATAGGGGATAGGTGGGACTCCGATCTGCGTGTTAGGTGAGCTCGGTGAACTTAGCAAGTACCATGTAACGTGTAATCATTTCAATCACGTAATCAATTCAATTCATTTCTTTCATTCATTTTATTTTTATTCTGTAACTTTTGTACTAACGGTAGATTAGATAGCTTGTAAGTGTGCAAACAAAATGGACTGTATACTGCAATAAATGATTTTTATTTTATTTTATAACAGTTGCAGTGCCTCTCAGAGATATAAATCGCAAAGATCTTAGGAGCACTACAACTGCACCCTGAGACATAAGTTGACAAGTCCCATGTACCTGTAATTTCCCCTAGCGCCCTTACCCTTCAAAACCGGAACACAGTAATTCGGACATTACTGCTTGGCGCCAGATATCGGTAAGGTGGCAGTACTTCCCTGGACGAACTTTTCACAAGGAGCTGTACTGCTACTAACAACTGTTACTATTCTAGAATAGTAACAGTCTTAAAAAAAAGTCTTCAGAAGTCAGTCAGTAAAAGTCTTCAGAAGTCGAAAAGACTAGTCTTTTCGACTTCTGAAGACTTCTTCGCTGTGTAAGGGACAAAACATATTAATTGTACTAGCATATCCACGTAAACCAAATGAAAGTGAAACGAGATCAATAGGAATTGCAGTTCCTGCTTTTGGAAAAGACAAATGGAAGACAATTTTCACACACCACCACCTGTGAGCACAACCCGTCCATCTTTTTTATCTCTTCAGTCGTTAACAAAACTATGTCACTGTGAGAGGAAAAGTAAAATCAGAAAATAGTTCAATAAAATAGTTAAAAACAGTTCAAATAAAATATAAAATAGTTCAATAAGTAGTTCCGAATACTTTTAGTGTCTTATCATATATCAAACAATGAAGAGCTTGAGGAATCACGTAAACAGGAAACAATAACTTAAGATATGATATCATATTTATACTACAATCATTTTAATATCTGCTGAACAGCAAATAAGAATTTATCATCAGAAAACACTACTCAGAACAAGATAATTAAATTACGCACATCCGCAGTAAAAAAAAACAATAAATGGAACGGAAGTAACGTAAAAGCCTCTACGTTACTAATAAATACAATCATTTCCGAGACATGACGAAACAGACAATGGAAAAAATAGCTAATTGTCATAAAGGAATAAGAGATGAAACTGTAAATAATAATTACAAAATTGAGAAACAAAATATGATCTCCATTACCGAAGATCGACTAAGATACAAAAGAATAGAGAGCTACAATAGTTCTTTGTTATGCAAGGCTGCAAAGTTGTTGTTTAACGAGAGTGCTTGTAATGAAACCAGAGCAAGCGAAGGAAGACAAGATTGAAGCGAGCGGTTCCAAGATACGAGACGCAAAACAACTTTGCTGCCGAGCGAAACACACAACTGTTCACCTCACTACAGCGAGGAAAATGGTAGATGAAGGGAAAACAGTTGAACTTTAAAACTTTTTTTGTTTCTGGCACTTCGCGGTTTGCGTTCGTGCCACTGCAAAACGGGGATATTCGCGGAAAACAATGGAAAGGAAAAATAATTTGGAAGAAAGGATCAGCGAAGTGCGAAGTTACACACCTAACTTTTTCTTCCACCACAGTCCATCCTCAAGTTCGAATTTCAAAAACCTTTTCCACGCTAGCGTGCAAAAAACGCTTTTGCGCGCAGATTTCTAATGAGAAAGTAAGTTTTTCCGAGCTAGTGAGGTAAAAAAAAATTGTTTGCCGAGAGCAAAGTACTGGAACTTAATAGTCATGTGACACACGCAATTTTAGGACTTTTTTAAAGCTCCGCTCTGCCACGCAGAGGTCCCTGGCCGGGAAAATATTTGTATGACCAACATTTATTTCTCTCGCGAGTGTTTGGGTGTAATTTGTGGTTGTCTATGTGTGTGTACATGGCATTCGCGATACAGGGTATTCCTGGTGCGAGGCTATGAACGTGTGCGTTAAAATAAGTATGCTCTTGGATGTCCTTTATTAAACAAATAATAAAATAATTTATTGTATATATTGAACCACTGTCTGCGAGGAGAGACTTTGCCTCCCTATGTATGTTCTATCGCTTGTACAATGGCCAATGTTCTAAGACATGATGCCAACACCAACATTTTATAATCGCACCTCCCTCCACCGGCAGGGAGTCCATCCTCACACTCTGGAACCGAGTCTATCTCGTACTGTACGGTTTCAGAGGCGCTTTCTTCCACGTACAATTAATTAGGTTGTGGAATGAACTCCCTGTCGGAGTTTTCTCGCAGGAATACAGCACGGAGCCCTTCAAAAGGGGTTTGAGAAGGGTCCTAAAGGGTTTGCAACGCGCTCGTGACGCCTCTGGTGCTGTAGGCTTTCAGCAACGGTGACCGCTTTCCGTCAGGCGGGCCGTATGCTTGTTTGCTACCTACTTAATATAAAAAAAATTAAAAAAAATTGTAAAGTTAACAAATGTAATAATTTTTAATATTATGCGATAGAAGTGAATGGACCGGCGTCATCCGACTTTGTCGTTGCACCTACATGGATCTAAGCATTTGGTTACGTAAGCCATAACACAATTATGTATAAATTAGAGGAATACGTGTGAGGCAATGTACGGGAATAATAAAATCCTTTATCAGCAGTAGAGAGCAATTACACAGTCACTACTTAAAGTGCGTCGAGTGACTAAAATTAGGAACTTTTAAGCATCAATAATATATTAAAAAATATAATATAAATAATAAAGTGCTGGGAACATTGTAATTCTTAATACTATATACATAAAAACAACATTCATAAATAAATTATTATACCAGTAATATTATTTCTATGACGTACTAAGTTTGATGATTTTAAAATACTAATTTGAATTCTGTGTCTGAATGGCTAAACAAAAATTATGAACTTTAAACAAAGAAACAATAAACTGTTACAAACTAAACTGGTATAAGGAAGTAGGGAGCTTTATTGATCAACTTATGTCGCAGCCAAATTTGAAGTATGGAATTTTTTTTTGGGGGTATGTGAGGTATATTAAACGTATGTTTAAAGTTTAGAGATTAAAAAGAGAGTTACCAATCATACTTTAAAATGTTGCTGGCCCTACAATCCCCGTATATGCGCGTATATTTAAAATTATACCTTTAGACACGCACCAATCAGGTATTCTGATATGAGTGTTAATTTAAAAAATATTAATACCATGTACACCGCAGTGATTCAATGTATTTTTGTATCATTTAATTTTCTGTATATAACAAAGAAATATAAAAAATTGAACTTGAACATGAATTTATGTGAACCTATTAGACGTTTCCTAAATAAAATTGCTTTGTTGACTGCTGGGTTCAAGAGTCTTAGAAAAATAGATTGATTTTAGATGAACCCAAGATGTAAAATGAGCCACCTTACCAATTTCTGCCGCCAAGCAGTAATGTGAATATTACTGCGTTCCGGTTTTGAAGGGTAAGGGTGCTGGTGAAATTACAGGCACTGTCAACTTATGTCTCTCAGGGTGACGGGCGCAGTGACAGTGCCCCTCAGATCTTTACGATTTAAAGCTCTGACTCTGGCTCTGAGTGGCGCTGCAAGTGTTACGGACAAACATGTAGCTTACCATCAGGCGCACGACATGTTCGTCCCGTTACATGATATTATAAAAAAAAAACATACCAAAAGTGCTTTTTTATTATTAAAAAAAAGACCTCAAAATTTCGTTGAATTACGCCTATTTGCCAAGTTTTATTGCAATCAGTTCCACGAAAGTGCGCGAAACCGGAATCATACCCTAACTGGGTTTGCCACCCTTATAGGTGGATTATTTTCTTTAAATTTAAATGGGACAACGACTGAGGTATCTTTCCAACAAAACAACAATCATCAAAATCAGTTCACAAACCGCGAGTCATCGCGTAACATACATACAAAAAATACAGTCGAATTGAGAACCTCCTCCTTTTTTGAAGTCGGTTAATAAACATTAGGCAATCGAACTTTACTTTTATAGATCGAAATACCTCAATGGCATGTAATTTGAGTAGAGCAGATGACCAACGGAGCGACTACGCTATATCGACGCGGAATCTATAATTATTAGATCCATATGTCATATAAGTGAACTTTTTTTGGTCTTATTGCATGGACATAAAACTTTTTCTGACTAACTGAATCCAACTTAGCGTCGACAAGTGAGATGACTTTTGACGATGACTGAATTTGCTGTCTTGCGGGTGTGAATTTTATATTATTTATTGTTTCTTAGTTTGTAATAATTATAAACAGCTGGATTTTTTATAATACCAAATGACAGTGCCACTCAGCATTTTAAATCGCAAAGATCTTTTGGGCTCTGCCACTGCGCCCGTCATCGTCACCCTGAAACATAAGTTGACAAGTCCCATGTGCGTATAATTTCACCAGCACCTTTACCCTTCTAAACCGGAACGCAGGTGGCAGTACTTCCCTAGACGAACTCTTTCATAAGGAGCTCTAGCTGTTACTAAAACTTTAAACCAATCTTCTGATTCTCAAAACATTAATCGAATACCCACCACTATCACGTGGAACTGGTGCATCGCCTTGGTCGTCCGCCATCCGATCCAGGCCACGGAACATGTAATAATAGCCATCATCAACAACAGGACAGCCGGATATTGCACTCCAGCACCCACGAAATGGCGGTACACGAACAGCTTGTATAGGAAGTACCCGCTAGCTCCAAACAGTACTACTGCTGACATCTGTCGAAACACAACCGCAACTCATCGTCAACTATTATTGTATTACCCAACCAAGTGACAAAGTAGGAACTCTTTCATTTTCATACAACGATATAGTGGGTCTCTCAACTTCAGTGCCAAGTTAACGGAGTAAACGGCGAATTTTGGAACTATCCGCGTAAAAGCTAAAACGTGATCATGTGTGATAACTACTAGCGCCACACTTGAGTTGCCAAATAGTACGTTAGAAAAAGACGATGAGTGAGTCTTGTAGAGCGACTAATGGCAAGCGTGACAGCAAATCAAATATAGTATCATTAAACGTAATGAGCAATTCACTCTTCTGCTAACAAAAACTGAATCATTATCAAGAGGAACTTCAAATTTGTACACACAAAAAAACCACTGGTTCATTGTTCACTAACGGGAATTTAAGTACGAACGAGGTTTGCATGTGCTAATATTTTAAAACTTATGAAATAGATACTCACTGCGAATAGTACGTTAAAGGTTAGCACAAGATACTTCCAGCAATTCGTTGAGAGCGCCATTGTAGATTATTATGTTCACATATCGGATTTTGTATGAAACCTGCCCCAAAACAAAGGCCCGGTTGTTCCACTTCAGAGAATGTTTGTGTACGTCGCGCGCACGGCAACCCGTGAGTCGTGCGAATGATGCAGCGGTGAACGAAACGAAGTCACAGCCCGGAATTAAACATCGACATTTAGGCGGACCGAAGACGTCTTAGCGCGGTAATTTGTAAAAAATAAAATGATTGAAGCAATTGACGTGGCGATTTATAAACAGTGCTGTACAGGCATTGAACCTTTTATCAAAAGATAAGGATAGTGGACATACATATATATGTGCATATCTGCTGTGGGTGTTGTTATAATAATCTAACCCATTTGTAACGTATACACATGCTTAACTTTGAGAGGGAAGAGCTCTTGAATGTTACGAGAATAGCACAGTGACACTTCTATTTCAGTTGCTTGTCTACGTTGCGCCTACGCCCAAGATTTTACTTGTCGCAATGCGACATTACTTTCACTTTACTGTTTCTTTCATAAAAAAAACAATCAGAATTTATCATGCTGTTTATTAAATTTACGTAGAGACAGAATTAAAAATAAGCTAGTACTTAGATAAATACAAAGACAGGTAAAGAGTGAGTAGAATAGCCTCGCTAACTAAGCTTCTAATTTATCGATAAGATAATCACACAAACATAAATTCTTCAACATTGAGTCAGATAAGGTCTCGATTTTAATGATGGACATCATTTTTGAGACTTGGAATTTGACGTCGTCGCTGAGAGGACCGGCCTGATGCGCGGTACGCAACATGGCACGTGCTTTGTCCACATCGCGTTGCCGCATTGCCAGCACCGCCAGCATCGCCCACCCGTCAGCCAGCAGCGGCTCCACTTTCACTGATACTGCGAACCATCGCTCCGACAAGTTGTAATCACCCATCCTAGCATAGCACAGTCCAATAGTAAACGCAGTGTGAGCACTCGGAGCCAGCCTATGAGCACGAGCTGCTCTTTGCAAAGCAATATCCGGATTCTTCTTTAGATGACTCATTGCAGACTGAAGCAGAAGCGCAGGAGGAATCTCGGCCCCGAATCGATCAGCATTTATTAGTGCATGTTCGCACTCGGCGTCCCATCCTCTTTCCACCTTCAAGCAAGTTGCGTGAATTTGTGTCAACATAGCACAAGGTCCTAATTTTTTTATTCCAGCTGCGATAATATTCTTCGCCTGGTCTACTTGATTCCTCATTAAAAATGACACAGCTCGTAAATAATACAGATCTGGAAATATAATGGTCTCCAAGTGGAACCTGGAGCCAAGAGTAGCACAGCCGTTTTCCATGCATTGCAATATTTGTTCACTTAATTTATAGCATCGCAAACAAAGAAAAAAAGCGGCAGCTATCAACATAGGGTTATCGGATCTTATAACACTTGGTACCCAGTATATTTCTTCTTCTCCACTACTTTCGAGCCAACGTTTAAGAAATTTAGGCCACTCTTTCTGCAACTCATATGATTTTCTCATTCTCTTAGCTGCCACAAATGCGCCATAAGGTCTATTACCATAATGAAGAACAGTGTGTAATGCTGCAAATGCAATCGCATTCGAAGTACCATCGGAGTGCTCTCCTTTGCAAGCAATTTGTAAAGCTGCTATTGCTCTTTCTAAAGCTTCTTCCCCTTTGTCGTATTCTATACCTCCGTACATCCACAGCAAATATTTATTCATAACTAGAGAACTCAGACCTTGGACTATATATTTCTTGGCATCTGAATCGTATCTTTGTTCTAGACATCTTAATGCTTTGGACAGTAAAGGTCTAGGGTGTTCAGGAGAAACTTCTAAATTATGAGAAATGTGATATTCTGCAATCCTAGTATCGGAAGCCATTCGGCACCTAGCAGCGGCATACGGCTGTGTCATTCGTGGTTGAGGTGGTTGAGGCGCGAACGAAGCTGTGACTGCGCGTCGTGCCGTTGCATGCTGTCTGGTAACAGTATCTTGCCAATCAAGGTATGAGCACTCACCTGGTGCAAATTGTTTTAACATTGTTCGAATTCGCATCATGAGTTTGTTTGCAGCCGTGCGTTTAATGCCTTGGTTCATAGATACTGCACCTGTACAAGTCATGCCGCTTAGTTCCTTGTGGACGGCCAATGCTCCTTCTTCCAATCTTATCTTTCTCGCGTCGACTAAAGGGTCTTCAGGCAGAGGTTCCATGTGCAATGTGCTTTCGTGTGCTCGACGCGGTCCCTCGGGTGCAGGAAATCCTATAGTTTCAAATAGACTGTACAATCTTTGTTTAGGTATTACAGGTTCCATTAAATTGAATTGCACCACAACATACGCATTATGACCTCTTTCATCGACAACAAAAGCAGAAGCAGGATCGCGATCACGCGCACTATTTTTGGTACTACTGGGAGGCAACACTAACAGCGGTCCTGTACCTTCGCCGAGAGGTAATGCAGAGTAATATTTAAGCTTGGCACAAGATATTAAACTATCCTGGCCTGGTTCTAAAAGTACTCCAACATCAACCAAAGCCGTATAACGCCCTCTTACATCGATTTTACCGATCCTCGGCACACCAGCAATTTCAACTGGAAAGTGACGTAACAATCTCTTTCGAAATGCACTCTGGTCAGTGATAAGAATACGTTTAACAGCATTCCAGTATACAGAATTGCATTGGGGCAAATCTTGAGGATTAAGATCGTAAGGCACAAATTTATCTTCGTCTGGTGCATTGTACGCGCTATTAGCCATTACTCCTGCCGTACTGACAGCAGCCCAAACTGTCTTTTTTGCATCTCGGTGACTTAACGCTAAGCCAAAGTTAACGGTAACAGGTTCCTCCAGGATATCTAAACCAATGGCTCCAACATAAAATGTACCATCTTTAACGTTAGGCAAACAATGCGCAGAAATCATAGTAATTATTAATGGATAGTAAATGTGGTCTAATTGTCCAATGGTTTCTGCATGGACAACTACTTTCAAGCCATGGTACCAGTCTCCAGTTTCTACAGAAATTAATCGTACTTTAATGTAAATCTCATCTTCTCCAATCAGTAAAGGAAGTAAATCCAGCGCTCCCCCGGCCTTATTGTCTACGTGTGCTAATGGATCGGGATCTTTTCCAGCCTTAGACCCTGTGAGGGCACGAACTATAAAAAGTAACGGTGTTTCTGCAATCAGATATTTGTGACCATAATCTTTTAAATTTAAAAATATAGGCAAATCTATTTCTAATTCATGTTGCCATTTCTCTTCTGCCATAATTTGACCGTCAAAGTATGCAAAAAATAATAAATCTTGTTGGATCGGATTTTGACCTTTCAGCATTACAGTAATGTTGACTTTTCGAGGCGTTTCGTATTCTTCAAAAAAATTATAATCTGTAGTTGTTCCTGTTGATGATGGCGATTTCTTATGTTCATTAATAGGACTCATTTTTTCTAGTGCTTTTTTTTCAATTAGCACTTTCGTACCTTACTTGAACGTATAAAGTATAACCTTCGATAATTAATATAAGCACAACATTATATCTAATTATTTTAATAAACAAAATAATATTATTATTATTATTTTAACAACACTATTTTTATTTAAATAATATCAAAACAATATTTTGGGCACTTCCACGTTTTATATTTTATGATATAGAATATCATTAAATTCACTATTCAAATTCTTAATGTCACATTTGAAAACTTTCCTAAAAAATTATCTCTTCCTATGTGTAAGTAAATTTTCAAAATAAATGGAAGCAGTGATAGTGGATTTTTGTATTTATTTATTTTTTAATTTTGTTTTATTTTACATTATTAAACGTATACAGCATTTGTATACTACTGTGTTCTTCCCAGATCCCTTCTTCCAAATTATTTTCCTTTCCATTGTTTTTCGTTTCCCCGTTTTGCAGTGGCACAAACGCAAACCGCGAAGTGCCAGTAACAAAAAAAAGAATACTGATTGACGGCCAAAAAAACACAAAATTAAAGACATTTTTGCCGCATTTAACGCATTTCCCTGCGATTTTATTCCCAGTAATAACTGTAATTCGCGCGAGCGGTTAGCCTATGTGGCCTAAAATTGACAATATTTTAGGCAAATAACACAATTTGTAGTGGTGAAAAGTAACTTTGCCACACTTTGCTCAAACTTTTTAGTCAGGGCCGGATAAGATAGTTTGGGAGCTCGCATCAAGAACTTTTTATTAAATTCTACATAATTTACATTTAATTTAATTTTTTTATGATAAATAAACCAGGGAAATCTGTCATTAGCCTTACCCTTAGTCTACATCCTATTTAAAGTACCTTATTTAACGGTGTTGGTTTTTTCTTGATAAATAAATACATTAAGCGTATAATATATATATAATATAAATACATTAACAAAAAATCGTAATTTCGCGAGTGAGCAAATTACATTTGAAATCGTTAAATGGAAACCTCTACTATTCGTTTGCTGTAGCAGATTAACTTGAGACGAACAAGTTAGAAACTCTAGTTGTTGCTTTTTATAAATATAATTATTTTCGCATTTAACACACAACATTTATATCATATAACATATTGAGAAACAACTAGAAAGAACAATGTTGCCCACTACCATTGATTCTTGTCGTCCTAATATGATCCTAATACACAAAAATTGTACTACAAAATAACTGTATAAACAACGTCTGTGACCGACTGTCTAACGCTAGGCAATGTAAATTTGACACATTTGTTTTTTTCCTCATCAAGAAGCAAGTTATTTATTAACCACAAACCAGTCTACTACCTTTGAAATAGTTCACATCGTCGTACCGTTTAACTTCAAATAAGTAATCGTGCTTCCTCGATCAGCAAACAATACTATCTCTTGCTCTAAACCTTCCATGTGGCTATGGAATTAATTAAAAGTAATTAACTAATTAAAAATGGACCCAGAATGGACCTTGAAGGACCGTAATGATCTCATACTGTTGATACTGATCTTCTGGACCCTATCACTCAAATATGATTTAAGACGATCGATGTGTGTCATGATGCACACAATCAAATGCCTTAGAAAGGTCACGAAATGCAATTACAGCATCATGTGAGTCTTTCCATATATGAATAAACAAAAAAAATCCTTTAATTTCAGATCAATTAATTCATAGTTAGTAACAGAGATACTTAAAATTATGTTAGTAAAATAATTGAAAATGCAGCAATATAACTATTTTATTACATGCAAGAAGGTGAGGATAGCCGAGTCCATTCTATTTGCAATCATCTTCAGGATTCCATTGTCGCCTACACTACAGAAACGGGGAAGCCTCAACAGGAACGAGAAAATTTCGTAAAACATAATTATGTTTCATCCACTCTACATCAGCATCCAGTATTGAGCGACCATGTTTTAAACATAATGTTGTATATTATATTGCACGTTTTTACAGAAATAATGTCTATGAGACATATGAGACAGGACACACAGCTGATTAAGAACATTTTTTTCAAATGTGGTAATAATAGTTGATTGAGCATTTAAGTAGATCTGTAATTATTATTAGTGTTGTCTGCCTTGCCGACTTCTTCATAAAGTGCCTCACTAATTAGTTCACTCTCATTTCACAGTCCAACCAATTTCATATCGTGGGTATTTTGTGGAAAGAGCGTAAGCAACATTTTGTGGATTTTTCAGTACAGCATGTTTTATGTTCTTACAACTGTTAAAAAATATTTACGTCCACTTTTCAAAATTCAATTTTAAAACTTAAACTTAATTAAAACCAAAATTGAATTCTAAAACGTGACGCAAGTATTAAGAAAAATCTACGAAATGTCGCGTATGCCTTTTCTACAAAACACCGCTATGACTGAACGCAATATGTTCCGCAGCTACGACCTTTTTTAAGACCAGCTTTCGTTGAACGAGCGACTTTTCTGTCGTATCTAAGCAAATGACCCAGATATGTGATTTACGGTTTGCAAAAATCTTTCGTTCTTGTCACAGACGAGAAAACCAGCCTTGGTTGTCTCGTCTACGCAAGAAATGATATAAGCTTCTTGCGTCTACGTGATTTCTGTCCATCTAGTCGTATCACTTATTAATTGGTAACTCTATGTGTATATGTACACTGTGACTTTCTGAGTTCCTGAGATTTACATCTACATCATTCTTCTATGGACCCACATTTGGAATGTCTCTGTACGTTCCCTGGGATATTTATTTATCTGATAGCAGCATTGACCAGACAGTCGTAACACTGAAAAAATGATACGCGCAGCTGAATAAAAAAAAAGAAATAATGAAAAAATACTAAACACACGTCATGAAACCAAATACTGTCGTAACTCAAAAATGATGAAATGAAGCTTCTTCAAACCAAGCCTGGGGGTCTACTCTCGATCTCCGTCCGACATCTTATAATACTAAAATAAACAACACTTGACCAAATGAAAAGACGCGTAATGCAAATGAAGCTTCATACTGAATACTTGTCTTTTAATTTTATTGAATATTACTTATTTGACAGTAATTGTTTACGGACGGAGATCGAGAGTAGACCCCCTGCACAGAGGCTTGGTTTGGTACAGGTACGTCAATTTCAACCAGCCACTTCTCTATATTAACACAGGAGGAAACTAAGGACGTAGACCAGCGATTTTAGAGTAAAACGAAATTTTAAATGACTAGACAGTAGACAACACCGAAAAAGTTATTGTTTATTTTTCTGAAAAACAAGAATTTTCTATGACCCAATACCATGAAAACTAAACGCCTAAAACGAAACGCTTTCATTTTATTTGAGGCAACTCATAAATTCTAACTAGAGCATATATTCTAACTTCTTGAAAAGGTGAGAAAGAATAACATTATCAATTCTTCGTATTCTGCAAAAAAGCGCAACACAATTTGACAGTTTTGACGTTTGTACAAAATGATGATGATGATGTTTTTGTAAAAACTTGTTACGATTTGTTTGGCACAATTAAAGTTTAAAAAACAATGTATTAAAATGTACACTCTATTACATGGCTTTTATAAATATCTAGTTCAAAAAGACGAGTATTGTGTTTTAATTTTGGGGCTAGATAATGCTGGGAAGACGGTAAAGAGTTTGTTTTCAGAAGTTCTTGTTATAGTTGTGTACTGGCCACGTTTGTTAAGTGTTATTATATGTTTTAGACATATTTGGAGGCTACAAAAACAAAGTTCACAAAGAAATATAAGGCTATGAACCCTAGTAGGATCACGACTACAGTTGGATTGAACATAGGAAAAATAGATGTCGACGGCGTTCGGTTAAACTTCTGGGACCTTGGTGGGCAACAGGAGCTACAATCTCTCTGGGACAAAGTACCTGGATTACTTTACAGCTTTAAGATATTTTTTATATTTCATTTAGATTGATTTGTGTCAATATATCTAAAAAAAGTATTTGTAACAAGTTTACATCACCATATTCCAAGCTTACTCATGCAATACAAGTACAGGGTCAAGAGCATGTCAAGCTTGACACTTAAGAATTAAATCCAAGTCACTTACGATAAGAACGGCCCAAAGTACTAAGTGTCAAGCTTGATGTGCTCTTGTCTGTACCTATCACATTCAATGTGACACTTATTTTTTCATAGTAACTGTGTACTTTTATGTTTATAACTATGGTATTGCTTTAACCCTATATTGTTTGCAGTACTATGCAGAATGCCATGCTGTGATATACATAGTTGATTCTTCAGATAGAGAAAGAATATCAGAATCAAAAGAAACATTTGGTGAGTACGCAAAAATCATTAGTTACTTTTCAAAACAGAGTTACTTTCTGAAATAGTAAAGCGAACAGTTTTCATATCAGCTAGTTTGCTTAATGTCGATTCTTGCTATGTAATGTTTCAGACAGGATGATAGCATCAGAACACCTGTCCGGTGTACCTTTGTTGGTGCTAGCAAACAAACAAGACATTCCTGACTGTATGGGAGTTCACACAGTGAAGCCTATTTTTAACCAAAATGCGCATCTCATTGGTGCAAGGGACATCATGCTTATGGCGACTTCTGCACTTACTGGGTGATTCATTTGTTGAAATTATACTAAATATGTTAATACTTTAACAGACTTTCAAAGAACAGCTATTACTTTTTTTTTTTCAAGAAGGAGTGGAATGACATTTCGTAGTGCAAAGGGTGCAACCTTACAAGCAACTACTGGTTGCAGTAAATAAATATTAACTATCAACTAAATCTATTGATAGTTAACTAAATTTTCGTTATGTTTACACTAGAGGTGTACGTTTAAACAAAAAGTATTTAAAAATTTTTGCTTTTTAAAATAAGTAAGCATTGCTCAGTTCGATAATCAACAATTTAATTTTTTACAACATGCCTAAGTTTCAAGTCCCACCATTTATGTTCCATAAACAAATTAATTTGTCAATGTGAATAATAATTTTATAAATAAAAATAAAACTCATGTTTCACAAATAAACTTACTTAACTTAAAACCTTTAGTGGTCTACTCTTGCTTTTTGCTATCAACACAATGTTGCAAGCTTTTTTTAACATAAAAAATCTATGCACTTAAACGTTTTTCTAAACGATTTTTTAAGTTTAAAACTAAAAAGTGAAAAGTGTCTAAAAAAAGCATGTTACAATGTTTAATCATTTAAAAAAAAGAAGAGAAAGTTTTTCTTCACTCAGCTAGATACCTTTACAGCTACCAAACGGTTGGCCAGAGATGCCACTATAATAATTGTAATATTAAGTTTATTGAATATCATGATGTTTTACTGCCATCATGTTCAATTATTTTTTTGTGAAATTACTCCACTAGTTTGTTATAATATTATTCATGCAAAGATCGAACACTATGAAAAATTCCTTGGATCGGCTGGATTCGAACCAGCGCCTTCAGCATACCGTGCCTGACGCTGTCCTAACTAAGTATGATATAAGTTATGATCAGTGGTCAGTGATTAAGGGAGTTAATTTACGTAAAGTATGAACGTTTTCTTATGCGACTAATACCCTTTTTTTTACTATATTTCCTTAACATTCCAAAATACAAGGTATGTCATGTTTATTTTTTAAATGGCTAAAATATTACTAATATATTAAAGTACCTATAGAAACACAACTATAATATTATTATTTGTTGAGACAATAATTTGTAGCAAATACTGAATAGGAGATAATAATTTGTCGTCAATGTATTCAAATTTCAATAAATAATAAGCATATCCAAATATAATCAGTTCCGAGAAATCCCGGGATTTGTAGAAGGGAACGTCCACATTATTCTTTAATTTAGCTAAACTCCCTCGAATCTGATCACTAGAAGATTCATGAAATGTAAAAAAGTATAATAAAAACCTAAGAACTCGATATATAATAAAAATGTTCTTCATCTTGAAAAATAATGCTTCTATACTTCACGGATTGGTTTTGATACTGGTGGGCCAACTGTAAAATAAAAATACAGAAGGTGATCATTATAACATCATAATAATACCATTCACTATTAATGTATTTCTGCGAAATTTCTTTTTTTATTTATCCCCTTTCGCAATACAACTAAAAAATATTATTAACAACAAGTAAAAGTAAAATTATATGTGTATATATATATATATATATATATGTATATATAAAATATATTATATTATTAAACTATTTAAATTCTAAATAGTTTAATAATATAATATAATATAAATATGGTAACCCTGCAAAGGTCTTTTTGCTCCATATTGAAAAAAGAAATTGTTTATATTTAACACACAACATATTGCACAAAAATAACATATTATTACTTTATGACAATGTCTTATTTTCAAATAACTAATATTTGTACATGTTATTTAGTTGCACAACTTCAGTAACCCAGTAGCTAGCATTGTCAGTGCCAGATGATGAAGTTCCGATCGGTAACCAATTGTGCCAATTAATGAATTGAAGGTATCTGAATTTGTCAGATGTTTTGGATATTTGATTCTATTTGTTACTTTCATCGGTTTGGTGCTATTAGCAAATAGCACTACCATATTATACCAATAACTCAAGAAGACTGCTAATCGCGATACTAGACAGCGTGGTCGGGTATTTAGTATCAATTTGCACACCAGATGTCGCGACAAGTACCAAATAATATTTTTGTACGACTGTTTTACATTGACAAGCTGCAATTTATCAAACTACTCTTAATTGTTAGTGATAACTAATAAATCAACTAGATGGCGCTTATTGCACACATATTTAAGGTTGGTGCCGGCTATTTTATTTTGGTGTATCGCCATCTATCCATATTATGAAGCGTTAATTTATAAATTAGTTTGGTGACACACAATGACCATCTATTGACACGCATATTTGCAAAGTTGAGACAATGTAGCGCATGATAAGTCAATGCGCGTGATCAATATTTAATAGAAGTAGAACTCCTTGTAACCTATTTCTGCCGCCAAGCAGTAATGTGAGCATTACTGTGTTCCGGGTTTGGAAGGTAAGGATCACAGACATGTCTGTGGTAAGGGTGCTGGTGAAATTACAAGCACATGGGACTTGTCAACTTTTTTTTAATAATATCAAGTGACGGGACGAACAAGTCGTGCGCCTGATGGTAAGCCTGAAGATACGCCTGTCCATAACAGTTGCAGTGCCACTTAGAGCTTTAAATCGCAAAGATTTGAGGGGCACTGCCACTGCGCCCGTCACCTTGAGACATAAATTGACAAGTCCCATGTGCCTGTAATTTCACAGGTACCCTTACCCTTCAAAACCGGAACACAGTAATGCTAATGATATTACTGCTTGGCGGCAGAAATAGTTATAGGTGGCAGTACTACCCTGGACGAACTCTTTCACAAGGAGCTCTACTGCTACTAATATGTCTCGGGGTAACGGGGGCAGTGACAGTGCCCTTCAGATCTTTGCTTTTTAAAGCTCTGAGTGGCACTGCAATTATTATTGTTATGGACAGGCGTGTAGCTTACCATCAGGCGCACGACTTGTTCGTTCCATCACTTGATATATTAAAAAATAATTGAATAATATTACTAGGAAAAAATCTAACTTCATATATTTCATGTTCAAGAGGAATAACTTGATATCTACGGCTATTTACATAATATAAACCAAAATACTTCCCAGGCTATTAACCAGCGCCATCTAGAATTTTAACCTTTTTCGTAGTATGGAGATTAGCAAATTAGCATTAGCAGTCCGCTTGAATTACTGATCTATGATACTGGCAATCTACGAGTATATGTTTTGTAATCTGAGCTGGCAATTATCTAGTTTGAGAGCAGGTAATTGATGTGGTTGTCGAGTAAAAAAAGCTAGTGTTCCCAATCAAGTTCCACAAAGTCGAACTCTTTTATTTGAGGAAATCATGCTGTTGTACAATCCATCAACTACCCGCGTCTCGTAAAATAAGGTCAATAATAAAGTTGTAAGCAAAATACTGTTCACACAGGCTTATTTTTATGGTAAGTATACATGTATACATATATTGACTTCCTTAATATTTTATCACACTGCATGAGTGTTGAGTAAACAAATGTGTGTACACTACAGTCAAGAACACTAGTTTGTGCGTATAATAATAAGTTGTTGCAACTAAATAAATGTTGAGCACAATGTTTAACTCAACACATCTGTCATCAATCAATATGTTTATGTACTCGTTAAAGCATGCCATTGCTAATACCGCTGTGACAACTAACGACGTAATAAACAGTGTTTATGTTTGCATTGTTTTAGAGATGGAGTGGATGAAGGCATCAGATGGTTGGTGGACTGCATAAAGAGAAACAACGTGGAGCGACCGCCGCGCAACCACGAAGACAACTTATAAAGCGGCCCGAGACGCCGCCGCCGCCGTCGTCGAAGCGTCTATCATTCGCGGCTTAAACAGACGTGAATAATAATGAGTATTCCTAATAAGATAATGATGTGACTTGTGATCGACCCATTGTTTTGTACATGCTATAATATTGATATAATAAAGATTATGAGAATGCCTGTGTTGCTGTCCTTTTTTAGTGATAACTGGTACCTTTGATAAGAGATACGTAATTACTGGATATTTGAGGAGTACCTGCCTGCACCTGATAAAGCATTAGTGACACTGATAACACACAGTTGGCAATGTCGTATGCTGTTACAGTGGTGTGAAATGTATTTTCTGTTGGATTTGTAGCGTGCTCTTGGACTATTTTGCTATCATCATGGCATATCCAATGTATGAAGTAGATTGGAGTGTCCTGCCACCCGAACAAAACAGAAGGTAGGTGGAAAAATGGATATTGTGAGTGTCAAGATTAAATAGGTATCTTTCTGAAAGTAAATAAAATCAAAAACTGTGGCTGTGGTTCGTGTAACGAAAAAATACAGGAAACGTTTTCTCGGGCCTATGAATATTTTCCAAAACTTTTCCACGTAGCATCCGTTCAGAAATTAATTTATAACTAGTTGTCATTTTATTCCGGAATCATAACAAATACTTATTACTTGTGCAGTTTATTAATCCGGCAATAAAAATAAAAGTATCAAAAAAATCAAAATTTTAATCGATAAAAGTGTGCCGTTATTCATATAAAGCTATTTTTAAATGTTTTCATACAAAAGAAAATTGATTTGATACCACATTGAGTAAACGTCATGCGAGTCATGTCCGCCATGTTGAATTTCTTGCAACGCAAAGGGAAATGTCAGCTGGCGGCTGCCGTGTTATTTCTTTGAAAAAACTGTGATAAAATCTGTCGGAAATTAATTTCTGTGATACACCAGAGAATAAAATATTCCACAAACATCATATATCAAATCAATGTGAAGTGAAAATATGTCAAAAGTTAGTCAACGGTGGCACGCGATTTCTCTTGCATTTGTAGGGTTTGTGACGAGATAAAATGATTTTATGCCTGACTAAGTCTCTGTAAATAATTCCTTTAGTTTGTTTCGTTATGATATAAAAGTATTGACGTAGTAACTTTGTCTCGGAGTGGTTTATTTGAGTTGTGTTCGCCCCCCTGTTTTTGCACCTGTGTCGACCAAGAACGGATACTTGTGTTGTCGCTGCGAGGATCCCTGCGATATCATTATTTCATAAAGCAAGGATTTAATAGAACATCACCATGAACGGCTCGGAATCCGGGTAATTTTTTTTACATTTTTTACCTGTATGTATTTATTTGACTATATTTTTGATTAAGTTTAGTATATCATGAATATCATAATAAGTGTATGTCCTGTTCAATTGTAATGATTTAAAAAGCAACGTGTGTTAGATTTTTATCAAAAATCTGTAGTTAAATTGCCTAGAAAGCCTTATTCAGGTAAACCCTGTGATAAGTAAGACCTAACCTGCTTCCACAAAAATTGCCTGTAGGCAATTCCTGTTACAAGATTGAAATCATGCTTGTGTATGATTCCAGATTTGTTAGGTACTAATTTGACCAAATTGAAAGAAGTTTGTTATCTAATGATTCACTTCAAATTTTCTTGGAACTTTTTATTCTATTTTCTATTAGAATACCTGAATGTATACCAATATACATTACGTATAATGCTATATATACTGCAAGGCTATATAGTACCTACATCTAATGTGGCTATTGTTCTGCATATAAAATAAAGGAAAGGTGAACAATACCTTTACAGTTCATACAGCTACATTGTTTAGTAACGTTTGTACATTTATTTCTTTTATACATGTTAATGTTGCATAAGATTTACTGTATGTTTTTGAGAAAATCTGTTTTAAGACTACTGTACCAAAAGGTACATACATTGTGGAATGTCATAACCCTTTACAGAAAGACATCAACATTAGTTTTGCAAGATACAGATTTGTCTTTAACAATCTGTACAAGTGCCCAAAATATTCTTAACATTTGAAAATGTTCTCAAAGATCACTAATATGTTATGACTTCAAGTAACATATAATGTAAACATTCTACAGCATACCTACAACATGATTCTTTACAGAAAAACTACTACTATTATTAAGAATTATAAAAGTATTTACACTTTTAGTTCTTACACATCTATAATTTAAATTCAATTTATAAATTAAAATCTACAATTATACATAATTAAACAACACCTTGTGACGGCTCAGAGCTTGTCTATATTTAACATTATGCAATTTTAAGCTACCTTTGTACTTGTAGGGTAACTTTTTAAGTCACTTCAAATCTCAGATAAAGAACTATCAGTTGTGATATAATGAAAACTATCCAATATTATACTAAGGTTAGTTTATCAGGTGACGGGATGAACAAGTCTTGCACCTGATGGAAATTATTATTATCCTTATCAAATTCTGTCAACAGTGACCCATATTACTTATCTGCCTAGATTGTTTATGTGACAAGGGAGTCTGTCAATCACAGTTTTTGTTCAATGAGAGAACAAAACAGTGTTACACAGTGTTTTGTGTTCTAAATCAACTAAAATTTAATAAATTTGTTTCTGTGCTATTATTAGCGTATTATATCAGACTATAAAAGACTTGTGTTTGTTTAATTGACACAAGTGTACAGAAGCCTTGCAAGTTGAACTTTTTCTGAAGTTGTTGTCGAAAAGAATTATGTATTCTGTGTCTGATAATTTGAAATACCATCTTCCTTTCCTGTCACTGGAATAAATGTTTATTTTTAGTAATATTAGATTAAATTGAACATAAATCACTATTACTATTTCATCTTATGCACTACCTCAACAATTGAAAAATAGTTTATTGCAATTGCAATAGTTTTATTTTCATTAATTTATTTGGTTTGAATTGATCGTTCCCTGTAGATTTATTTATTTATTTAATAAAAGCATGGACCTTGTTTTATAAAGTGTTGCAATTTACAAGTATATGACCATCTGTGGACTAATCTAATATTTAAAAAAATATCTGTTGTCTTGCAAAATCATACGTGGTATGGAATTTTTGTGAATTGATTTGATGTACGGACAACGGCACATCACACTACACATTTTTGTTTGAAAATCGCCTCCATTGCAATGGAACAAGATACGTCAATGTGTAGCTTGGTGTGCTGGCGTGTGTACATATTGGATCCAATGTTGAATTGAACTTACACTCTTATAAACATCAACCACCCTAAAATTAATATAAAAATGCCCATGACAATGACAGCTTTGTATAGCGATTTTCTAATAAATTTTAGGTTAAATCAGAATCACCTTGACATTATTATAAATTCAGGTGGGTCCAGTCAGGGCTTGTGCAGCTTCTCATCTATTGTCATAGCAGAGCCATCGTCTTTACATATTTGGCAAACCAATATTGTAGAAGCTGTAGGGACAGCATAATACAGGGGTATTATGTCTGTATAATGTTGACTGTCTCGATATCAATGAAACCATGCAATTGATACTAATTGACCACAATAATGTTACCAGATGTGTGTATTATAGTATTTCATTACAGACAATGGTACAATTTTGGTGCACTGAAAATTGAGTACTATGGATTTTGATCACTTGATGTTATTATTGGGCAGGTTGTACTTTTTAATAGTTGCCAAGTTATAAGAGGCTATATAAGTTATATTAATTCATAATCATGCCATAGTCGAGTAATACAAAAAGGAATTAGTAGTACTAAATTTTTCAATGACAAAATATAATTTTCACTTCTCATTAATGTTCATATTTATTTATGCTGGATGTAGGCTGCATAAAATAGGATTTTATGCTCTAGTGCATAAAATAAAATCGTCGTTTAAGACCGAGGCAATTATGCCTGCGCCAACAGCCACACATGCTAGAACTTTATAAAATAAATTTTATTTTTATCTTTTTAATCCGTGTTATATTACAAAGTTAAAAAGTTGGCAATAATAATTCTAATAAGTTATAAGAAATAGAAGTGTATAAAAAATTAAAGCTTGTAAAATATAACTGAGCATATGTAGTCCGATCTGAGTCACATGTAGAAAAAAAAGTAGTACATTGGCGGGATTGTTGTAACTTTACATTCAATTTTAATTAAATAATTGTTTATTTGTAATATTGCTGTTTAATTTCCTCGCAATCGATCGAGTGTATAACTCATTCATAAAACCCATTTTACCCTCGACTTAAGTATCAATACTCGCCTGCTGCTCAGGTGGATATACTCTTGTTGTACAATCTACTATTATTATGTAGTTAATTTTAAAATACTTCCGATATCTTTCTCAATCTATCGTTTGCATTATAATTGTAATGATTTATTTAACATGATCACAATTTTATCACTTTTATAATGAGTAAGTGCCCTCATCATTTTGCTGTGCCCTTACAGAGTGTCACATGTACATTTTCAAGCCACTGTACTTCATATAATATAAGTGTGACAATGCAATAAATGAATGAATAAATAAATGAATTATATTAATACTGATGGTCAAAAAACTTATCTTTGTCCTGGCCTTATGTCCTATTTCTTGTGGAGTCAGGTCTGCTAGTCCAAGTGGGCCACTCCGGGCGACTTGGCGTAAAATCAGAGCCTACACCAATCGTCTTCATATCTCTTTGGACGGTTCCAATCCAAATGATTTGAGGTCTGCCTGATCTCTTTTGGTGGTTTTAGTTTTGAGCTACAACATTTTTGTGGTCACATGGCTTGGGATACCAAATATATATATATATATGTATATATATATATATATATATATATATATATATATAATACCAACATAATCAGTTGTCCTTAGTTATAACATTTAGTCTATAATAAAAAACAAACATCCTTAATAATTAATTATGTATCAAAAGTTTTGTTCTAAATAACTCTAATGTTGTAGGTTCAACCCGGCGTTCAACATTGCCACTATTAAACAAGTGGTAAATGAGGCCATAGAGAGAGGTGAGTTCATGAAATTACCTGCTAAATTGTCTGGTAAACAGTAAAAACGTTTTTTGAGTAGGTACACAAAATGAGTGTAGCTCATTTTGTTATAGCAGAAGTTTGTCTGCGTAATTTTATCACTTTGCTTTTTAATGCTACATTTATAAAATTATTTTGGGTATTATCTCTCTTTATTGCAATATTTTTTTTAGTTGTAAATAACGATATAAAATAATTCACGCCTTATTCTGCCCTTACTTATGCTATTATAATTTTTTTTAATGCTATGCTACCTTTTCTTTAACCATGTTATAGTAGATTTAATTTTCGATGTGACCAAACAAAAGTGCAGCTTTTTCAGATCTGCGCTATGCATGACTTCTTTCTGATTCTGTAGGAACTTCATTTGCGCTTTCTTTTAAATTAAACCACGCTAATAACAATAAAGAAACTGCAAATTCTACCATATTTGTATTATCCAAAGCTTCAAAACAGTTTTAACCACTTGTGTAACTTTTTAAGCAAGTTTCCACTCTATCAGCTTTTAGCTTGTAAGTAAACTGCACGTAACATGCACTGATAAACGCTTTCTATGTGTGTGCCGTCCTTAACAGTTGCGCCGGTTTCAGTACGAATGCCGACGCCAACGCGCCTCCGTGACCTCATAAGGCAGATCAGGGCGGCAAGGACAGCCGCCGAAGAAAGGAGTGTAGTGAACAAAGAATGCGCTTATATTAGATCCACGTTTAGAGAAGAGGACAGTGTTTGGAGGTTAGTACTTACCTGTACCATACTTTACATGGTCAGTGTCCCTTCCGGGATGTGCAATCAGTATCACCTTTCATCAGTCACCATGAATTTTTGACTATCTCTGAACCCCACCACCCATTTCCAAACATCCGGGTTGTGGCGAAAATCGGATATCATTGACTGCGTACAAATAGAACACTTGAGACCCGGATGGTTCTAACACGGTAAGTGTGAATTAGTTTTAAACAAAGCAACCCTAACCGCCGCGATACTTGCTATTAGGTAAATTCAGCCTGTTGTTCATGGTCGGATACTGGCAGCGGCGTGCAGACGCTCTCAGTTTCATCTTAAGCTGTCGCTGTTGGCAGCTAGTAGGCTGCAGCTTTGTTATGGTGACTTGACGCAAAACTGCTTGTATCGCGACTAGAACGAAAAAATGCCATTTTTTTAACTCAAGTGATAAAGGACACTCGTACAACGCTGTCTTTTCCCCGACCGTAAATTTAATAATAATAATAACGCACACACTCACTGTGTCGCGGGTGCCATGGACACACACGTAGACAACCACAAATTACACTCAAACTCACAAGAATAATAGATGTAGGCCATACAAATATTTCTCCCGGCCAGGGAACCGAATCTGGGATTTTATGCGTGGCAGTCCGACATGGTAACCTTTCGGCCATAGAGGCAGTCAAAAATTTTATCTTGAATCGTTGTCTTGATTTTTTTCTATGGCTGTTGTCGCATTCTATGACATTAAATTGAGCAGCACCTTTCTATTAAAACTAGACTTTCAAATTTGTATGGCGGAGATCTTGTTTATTACGATTTCAATTTCGGGACATCACATCCGCCACAATCACCGAGCTCCCAGACGTGAAGTTCGGTGAACTTAGTGAGTGAATCAAAGTCCAACGTATCCCCTATCACCTTTACGTTTCCGATCGAATTATCTGTACTCTTCACAAATATAACGCCATCTTCTTTCGCATTAGTGCATAAAAATTTTCTTTACTTGCGTCGACAAACATTTGTGTATTTTTCGTATTATTTTTTAAGTTTATCTGTTCAACCGCTGGACTGTAAATCGTCTATAGCTAAACTGCTGAGATTAATGCATCGAGTATATAACCAGAAATAGAGACAAAATAAGGGCCATAAATTCCTGGTAACACGTTAGCGGTACAGCTTTTATAAATATCAACACTCGTTTGCACTGATATATAGACAGGCCAACTACTGACCTGTGTGTACGTCGTCTCCGTATATTCTAAAAAAATATTCTATATTTATTGTAATAAAGATATTATCTCTAACAATGTCGTGCTGTTCTATTCGGTGGTGGGGGGGAAAACAGCAAAACATCTAGTTACAAAACAACCGGAATCACATTTCATCGGTAATTAAATATGTAATTTTGCAATTTTCGTCCATTATAGCAAAGTTCAAGTTAACTGGTTGATTTGAAGTGAAACAATTGACGACACTCGTCAATTGTTTCGAAGTCGGGCTAGCCAATCGAAGCGCAGTTGTCACAGTAATGATATGGCAGAATAGGTTTCAAACAAATTAAATGACATTTCGTCCTATTTCTGGTTATATACTCGATGGATTAATGGTACCATCGAGTATATAACTAGAAATAGAGACGAATTAATTTGTTTAAAAACTATTCTGCCATATCATTACTGTGAAAACTGTGCTCCGATTGGCCAGCCCGAATTCGAAACAATTGACGGGTGTCGTCAATTGTTTCACTTCAAAATGACCAGTTAACTTGAGCTTTGTTATAATGGACGAAAATTGCAAAATTACATATTTAATATTTAATTACCGATGAAATTTGATTCTGTTTGTTTTGTAATCAGATGTTTTGCGGTTTTTTCCCACACCACCAAATGAAACAGCACGCCATTGTTAGAGATATTATCTTTATTACAATAAATACCGAATACTTTTGGAATATACGGAAACGTACACACAGGTCAGTTGTTGGCGTTTCTATATTTCAGTGCAAACGAGAGTTGATGTTTATAAATGATGTACCTATCATTGATGAGTTACCAGGAATGTATACCTTATTTCGTCTCTATTTCTGGTTATATACTCGATGGTAGTTGAAGACGCTATGATATCACGGCAAGGTCAAGTTAATAGTTTTCTCTTAACGCTGACTTTTAAAAAACATTTAATGTAAAGAAAGGATACTCACCGACTCCATCTTCGTCGACCATGGAAATATTTCTGGTTATATACTCGATGAATGGCATTTTCCACATAATTTAAATTTCATGTATTTTACCTTTGTGGGACATATTTTATGTGAAAACGTTATTTTAAAACAAAATGAATGATATCAGAGAACAATTCAGGCAAGTTATCGACGCGTTTGAGGGTTGTACGTTGCAGACACGATTCGATGTAACAATGCTTTAAATTATGACCACTGATTTTTAGCATCGCTTGCAAAGAGTCGTTTTTAGTCGTATCGTACCTTAGCTTGTATTAAATTTTTATATTTTGTATATACTAGTCTCTGTTCTGCTATCGATACAGTTTTGTATAGAGCTCTTAAATTGAAGAAGAGTACCTACTTATCTGGATAAGTTAACAAACAAGTCTTGAAGTCCCCAACCCGGATGGCATTTATTTGAAGTTCAAAAGCCGAGTCGACATTTATTACTGTTAAATTGGTTTCACAAAATAGCTTAACTTGTTCCTTCCTGATAGACAGCATTCGTAACAATAACTATATTAAAGTAGTCATTGAAGGTGCGATGTAGTCATTGTAGATATAAATTAAATAGAGAATTATAAAACTTGTCACCGTATTAATAAAGTGCATTGAGCATTGTTACCACCCCGCAGATGTCGCAACATAGCGAAACTCCTTTACATCCACATGCTGGGCTACCCCGCGCATTTCGGGCAGCTGGAGTGTCTGAAACTCATCGCTAGTCCACGGTTCACGGACAAACGCGTCGGCTACCTCGGTGCAATGCTGCTGCTCGACGAGCGCCAGGACGTGCATCTGCTGATCACTAATAGCTTAAAAAAGTAAGTGATAATGATAACATTAAGTAAAAAGCCATTTTTTTAATGATTGCATTGTCGCATAAAGGCCCCCATATGCAGACGATTCGTCGTTTCGATCGATCATCGCGATAATCGTAACGATTCTAGTGTTGGTTACTTCTAAAGTCAATTGTGAAGACAAATCGCCGAGTATATGGGGGCCTTGACATCGGGTCAGATTGTGACCAATCGTGTATCTATATTACATTTCAAAAAAGTATCTGGGTACTTAGCGGTGGCGAAGAGTCCATTATGACATTATTCTCATCGGGTTACTTTAAGATATTGTTATAGTCATAATATAATACACTAAGCAACATCAAGAACATTCTCACTTCAATTTGAATAAACGAAGCATTTGAATATTTAATCAAGCAATCCTGTTGCGCAGCTTCTAGTTTCCAATGCAAAACGCCTGATTGTTTTGTCCGACGTGATATACTGCTCATTGCCGAGTTCCCTTAGTTAAAGTCTCTTCCAATCCTATAAAAAACAATATTCCGTGTCGTTTCAATTACGTGAGTTTATATACCAGGTCCTACTCAATTGAAATCGAAATAATGACCAGTGAGATTTTTTGAAGTCTTTATTTGTTTAAAGAGAACTTTACATTTGTCACCCTCGTAGTGGATATCTTAATCTACACTTCTGCTTAATCTTCATTTCTTACTTGTCTAATTTGTATAGAAGCTCAGCCTCTTCTAAGGTCGGAGCTCTCTCTTCTCTTATCGTATCGATAGCATACACTGTAATGTTTGCTCTCGTGGCGAAACGATTTGCCAATCGGCATATGGTACCTGCCGATTGTTGCTCAGAGTGCGCCTGATTTATAGAAAAGGGATGGTACGTTGCGCGGGGAGACTCCTTTCGTACATCACACGAAAAGAGGTCGGAGCTGCCAGGATTCTGTTCATCCTAAATACCAAGATTATTTGTGTTTGTGATGAGGTGGCATCGTTGCACCTTGCCTTTTAATTCCTAATGCACAGGTACACGCAAGAAAGATGTATTGTCTCGTTTTAACGGTAGAGTTCCATTATTTCTTTAAAAAACTTTTATTTGTTGTTTAAAAACAATAACGGCTGGCGTTATTTAAGGTAAAATTATACTTTCATTAATTTATCTGTAATTTTAGGTAGTTAGTTGGTAATTTTTGTGGGTAAACCTTTAGTCGATACAATATTACGGCGTTAATTCATATAAATGTATTAGTTTGTTTACTTGTGATAGTTTTATTGGAGCTAGTCGAGAACTCCTACCATAAAATCTAACGCATTTCACCAAAAGAATAGTATCTGAAAAACAATTTAAGCCGATATTTTTCGATCTGTATAACTGATAAAAATCAGGCAAAATTATTATGACTCAGTAGATGAATAAAGTTCTTGTTTTTGTCGTTCGTTAGTTACAAAGTTTCCGTTTAATAGTGAGTTCGTAATTCTTCAGCATGCTTTAGGCGGTTATTTCCTGGTAATGCCTACGAAAATATATGTAGTAGCCAAAGTCTGTGGAGCATGAGCGCTATTATGTAAAGAGCGGAATGTGGCGCTTAAGTACCACGTAATCTATTACAACAAGATCTAAGCCTGAACTGAATACTTAAAACTGCTGCAACACATTAAAGCTAGAATGTACATATATTACGTCACAACTAAAAGTGATGAAATTGGCATATTACACTGAATTTTTTCTTGTTTTTTAACATATACATAATACAAGAGCTTCAATTTTTTACTTCGCTATTTAGGGCGAATCACGGAAGGAGAAACGGCAAAAACTGTTGTAAAAATCAAATTGTTTAGGTAATTAGGATCAAATAACAGTTTTATAAAAAATACACGTAAGGATATTGTCTAAAGAATGGGCTAATTCGTTGCATGATGGGATGCACTATACTCGATCACATAAAATCCCGAAAACAGGCTAAAATAAAAGTCAAAAACAAATCATTTAATAATAATAATAATAACGCACACACTCAACATATCCCCGCACTAAGGAAACCCTGTGTTGCGGGTGCCATGGACACACATGGACAACCACAAATTACACCCAAACTCACGAGAGAAATAAATGTAGGCCATACAAAATATTTCTCCCGGCCCTGAAATCGAACCTGGGACCTCTGCGTGGCAGTCAGCATGGTAACCGTTCGGCCACGGAGGTAGTTGAAGATTTAAGAAGATTTTAAGATTTTTATATGGATATACTTTTCTTTAAATACTACAGAGAGCCTGGTAAATGTTACTTTTCAACTGATATCTTATATTATTAAATTCACATTTATACCAAAAACTTATAACATTTATACCGCGCCGGCTGCTGCTCCGTCTGTCGTCATCGGGTGCTTGTCAACGTCGGATGTGTATCAAAGTTTCTCCGCCTATTCTTATTTTATTCATATTACTTTTAAGCTCGCAGATTATGGAATGTGAGAGACCCCCTCCCCCCCACATCATCTGCTGAAATAGTAGGGACCTTACCTATTCCTGCCGCCAAGCAGTAATGTCAGCATTACTGTGATTAGATTTCTGGTTTTGAAGGGTAAGGGGTCTAGTAAAATTACAGGCATGTGGAACTTGTCAACTTATGTCTCAGGGTGACGGGCACACTGACAGTGCCCCTCAGATCTTTGCGATTTAAAGCTCTGAGTGGCACTGCAACTGTTATGGACAGGCGTGTAGCTTACCATAAGGCGCACGACTTGTTCGTCCCGTCACTTGATATCATAAAAAAAAAATAGGCTCACGTTCAAATGCCTCGACTTAAGCACGTATCTAACATCAGCATTTCACAAATTACCAATATTCACAGAAATACATTCACGGTCTTCGAGAAACTCGTGCTACGACTTTTAATAAAAATTTACGGCTAACATTTCGCTACGTAGGTATCACTTTGCCGCTTTTACGAGGTGCCTGAGTAAAGGTGTAATGTAGACATGGGACTTACAATGTTGAATTAACCTAGGTCATGAAGGTCAGATGAATACTGATGAAATTAATTTATATTTATTCAAACTAACGCACGTTTAGAATGAAAGTGACCTAATTAAAATATCGACTAAATTAATATAAACCTTGAAACGGACAGTTGCCCTTTGCAAGTGCAGACCGGCCTCACTGGATTGACTTCGAAGTATACATATAGGTATTTAAGTTTATTATATTATATAGTACAATGTCATTTTAATAATCTCAGTAAAGAGTACTAATAAAATCGACCTCAATAGTCATTCGTCCCCTAGTTTGCCACCCTTACCCTTATTTTCTTCAAATTTAAATGGCACCACTTCTGAGGTACCCTCTTTCCAATATAAAAAGAATCATCCGAATCGGTTCACAAATGCCGTGAGTTATCGCGTAACATACAAAAATATAGTCGAATTGAGAACTCCTCCTTTTTGTGAAGTCGGTTAAAAAAGGGAAACCGGTTTGCAGCTCTACGTAATAAAGTACGTTGTTCTGATTTCAAATTATTGAAATGAATAAATGATAAATTAATAATTACTGACATGGAAATTTGTATTCGGACGCATTCGGAAATCCGAGGATTACCGAGAGATATTAAGAAAATAGTTATACTGTAACATTATTATGTAGCTATAATGAAAAAAGAAGTCACGGTTCAAATTCCGTCATGAAAATGAAAATGAGCATACTACCGATAAGAAACCAGTGAAAGACATTCCCATAGTGTACAAACATCGCAACTTGTACGTAACGTTAGCATAAATTACCTGATAATCGTCGGATACGTAGCATTTTATCGCTCACCCATTTAGCTGCATTCTGTTGACTCCTTCGTGTTACATTTTTACGATATTTTTGTTGTACAGTTAAATTAAACTGTTCAATATGTAAATCATTTAGTATAGTCGAAACCAATGTATAGATACTTTTATTCACTGGTGGCTTTCGATATTAGCGGCCTAATCTCTCTCATGATCTCAAAACCACCTAATTTAAAATGGTTTAAAGAACAGGTGTATACGCGTAATTATTTACCTATTCAATTTTGTCACGTAATTATTTTAACAAATGAAAAACTCGGTGTCTTAGGGTCGTATTCCAGAACTCTACTCAATGCTCAAGTCAGGATTTGACCAGACTTCAGTACGATTTCAAGCACTGGAAATACGACCCTAATGGCAAGGACTTGAGTATGATTTCTAGTGCTTTGAATCATACTCAAGTCCTGAATTGAGCATTGAGTAGAGTTCTAGAATACGACCCTTAATCTCAATATTCTTTTTTAAAGGCACATTCCGAATAGAGCTGTGTAATAAGCAAAGGTCGAGAATAGTCGAGATAGGCATAGTACATTTACCCAAATTTCATGTAATATAATAATGTATCTGATTGTGACGGTATATCGCTTATGTTATATTATACAGTAGATAACACATGCCTCTGAAAGCGGACTGAAAAGAGCTTTCTCTAGCAATCCGCATTTAGATTTATGAGCTTGAACCTTGAAGGCAACCCATTTACAGTGATGAATTGATGACAATGTAGACAAATCTTGGAACATTAGAAAGATAAGAAATCTTTTCGGTATCTTTTTGTAATTTTATATTTCGAGACAGAATACAAGAGATGAACAAAAAGTTTTTATACTAACAGGAAATATTTGGCGACAGCATAATTACGATTGGTAATTGGCTTTTCAAGCGTGACGGAAGTCAAAACATTTTATCTTAAAGGAAATTTTAATATTTTTTATAACCGTTTTTGTTATGTAATGTCTTATCAATAGAATGACGTATTATGTTAGTACGTTCTAAACTAGCAGTAAGTAACTAGATCAGTCTGAGTTCGTCCAGGGAAATACTCCCACCTTACCTATTTCTGTCCCCAAGCAGAAATGTGGGCATTAAGTAACGGTGCTGGTGAAATTACATTCACATGGGACTTGTCAACTTATGTCTCAGGATGACGAACACAGTGGCAGTGCTCGTCAGATCTTTGCGATTTAAGACT